GTGAGGGAAGTGCACGGGATTATGGTGATGGCACACGGGTGACTTTGTGATGGGAAACCACGGGGATTACAATTGAGATGGGGAAAAAATGTACAAAATGATGTAAAAATAAACTGTTATAAATAAAAATTAAAAATATATAAAATAAAATAAAACAAAATTAAATTTAAAAAAGTCAGGCTATCTTTAAAAAAATTATTAGTAAGTAGTTGGGGGAGGGAAGTGCACTGGACTGTGGTGATGGCACACAGGTGATTTGGTGATGGGAAGCCCACGGGGATTACAACTGGAGATGGAAAAGTGCACAAAATGATGTAAAAATAAACTATTATAGTATTTTTTAAAAATTATTAGCAAATGTCAATAGCCACTTACAGTTGCTCCTAAGAAAATGATCCAACGTCATGTGGATTCCCCACTTCAGTGTCTTTTCCAAAAGAACAATCACATTCCCTGCTCACAGCCACTGTCAGTGTTTCCAAAGGTTGCATGCACTTACCTTCGTGATGTTTGGAAGTTAAGACAATGTATTTGGCACCAGAAGCCTGAAAAATATCTGCCCACTGGTTGGCATCAAAAAAAGTTGCTCTAAATAAAGGTCCAAAATCTTGATATTTGAATCCAGGGGGGTAATTTCTTTTCATAAAGTCCACATACGCTGGTCTCTTTTCCTTTTGCCAATACCACCTATGGGAGAGAGAAACAGCACACATGTTTGGGAAGCTCCCCTTGCCAAAGTCACCTCACACAACACAGTTGCTTCCTCACTTCCCACACTAGTTCAACTTGACCATAAAATTTTGGAGTAATCAAAACTCCTCTCATTTTTCACACTCCATCTGTGAAATCAGCTCAGCTTATAAATTAGGAAATCCTATGCCACCTAGCCACTTGCTGGTGCTTTTTAAAATTTTTTTAAAGATTTATTTATTTATGCATATAAGAACTGGGGTGCAAGCTGGAAATGCTGGGGCTGAGAGGATTCCCCAGAGACAGCGTGGGGAGCTGAACAGGCAGATATATTAAAATCCTCTGCTGAGGGGAGCAGCGGGAAGACAGGAGAGGTCTGCTGCGCCATGCGGGTCAGCTCCCTGGCTGGGGCTTGAACTCCTGCTAGTGTAACTGGTTGGTCCCCAAGAAAAGGAGAAGTTCCAGGTTCCCTGCCCCACCCAGAAGGTGGGTGGAGCTGAGCAGAGAAGAAATAAGGAGAAGAAAGAAGCAGGATGGAGAGCCAGAAGGAGAACTGAGGAAGCCACATGGAACAGAAAAACATGTAAAGAAACTTTGCTTGCTTCTGGTCCTGGACTTGGTGAAGCAGATGTGGGTGAGAGACCCGTGGGGAGATTGACTATGGCCGTGTTTATCTTAATTTTGATTGTGTTCTTTTCCTCCCAGATTTGTCTGGCCATTTCTGACCCTTTTCTATGGGTCCCGGTCAGAGGTGCTTTTAGGCTTATGGCGGCTTTCAGGCCTTGCTTTGGGCCAATTCCTTTTGGGCTGACTTTTACCCACAAGGGAAGTAAAAGGGGTCACTTCAGGAGTTTGATTTAGAAAGTATATTCTTTGTCTTCTGTGTTATATACTCACTGTATTAAAAAGTGCTTTTTCATTAAAGTCATGTTTTGTCTTGATGCGGCGGATGGCAGAACCTATTGAGAGCAGGCAGGTTTGGGAGTTCAGGGGTACCCCTCTCTCCCTGCCCTCTAACACTAGAGGGGTGGCTGTGGATAGCTTCACAATGTTGTGCTTTTAACCTGTTGCACCACCAGGGAGGGCCTTCCTTTACTTTTAAATCACAATAGATACTATGTGTCTTTATATAGAAATTCCTTGGCAACTTAAATGATGAAGACTTCAAAAGGAAGTCCACATGTCTGAAACAAAATACACATCTACTACAATCATTAACAGAAAATAAGTAGGAGAAAAGATCAGACAATCTCAAAATTAAGAACCATGGTGTTATAATAAAATACTGAGTCACCCTTCAAGCTTACTGTTTATAGATACTCATTTTGAACATTGCACTGAACTTAAACTGCTCAAAAAGGCTTCCTGAGGCTCTTTCTGCACATAATTACATATTTGTAAGCGCAGCTATCCTCATGCTGTCCTCCCTACTTAATATCTAATCTCATTGTGGTTTCAAAATATCCCAAAAGTAACCCTCCGCCAATCACTGTAGAGTTTCCAAATCAGCCAGATAAAGCACCCCTTGCCCCAGGGAAGATGATTTCACCTGAACCAATCTTTTCTTTTGCTAGTAACCTTAACACATCTGGTTCCTGTCTATAAATACCCTCTTTTGCGGAGACTCTCACAATATCTAGATGAGATCCTGGCCAGCTCATGAATCATTTAATAAAGCCAATTAGATCTCAAAATTTGTGAATTGTTTTTTAATACTGTAAACATGTGCATGAGTACATGTATACACACTTAGGTACATGTATTTGATGCCATGTCTACCTTGAAGAACTCAGTACCTGAAGGCTTTAATCTGTTTTGTGTAACAGAGATTAGATGTACATTTAATATAGATCTCAGTGTGTACTGAGGCCTGAATCTGGAATACGACCTGCCTTAACAGTTACTGTACCACATTCCTTAGAGGCATAGTGACAGTGATGCTCTAGTCTAATGTTTAGCAAAATTATTCCAGGGGCTTCCTGGTGGTACAAGGGGTTGAAGCTCAGCACTATGAAGCAATCAGTAGCCACAGCAGCATGAGTTCGATTCCCGGTCAGGGAGCTGATCCACATGGCACAGCTGACCTTTCCTGTCTCACTTGCTGCTCCCCTCAGCCGTGTAACTTAGTCAGTCTGCCTGTTCTGCTCCCCACTTTGTCTCTGGTGAATCCTCTCACCCCTCTGCGTGTACCCCAGTTCTCGCATGCATAAATAAATACATCTTTAAAAAAAATTCCATTCTTTCCAAGGTTGGTGATACCATCAGTGCCCCAAGAACACCAAAGGGCTGTTATAGCTACTAACATAAAAGAAACCAGCAGATACCAAACACCGTAGGACTCAGTTTCCCTCTGCCAATAAAAGGAAACAGAAATTGAGGGAAAGTGGTTTAATTTGTTGACAAATGAGGAGAGCAGCAGACTCATTTCGAAAGATCATGTTCCTGCTCTTTGGCAGAGTGCAGGGTTATTTATGGGGGTGGGGGCAGGGAGACATGGGCAGTGTCTGCAAAGGGGTGGGGGGTCAACAAGGAGACAGGTGGGTGCTAGCTTGCTTTTTCAACAACTGCTGTTTAACTCCCTTTTCCTTGGCATGCAAGAAGACAAGCTTGTCAAACAAGGGGGGAATTGCAGGAGATAGGGAAAGACAAACTTGGTAAATACAAACTTGGTAATGCTTATCTGAGACCAGTCACTTGTAACTGTATCACAGCGGCTCCAGAAATATTAGCAACAGTCTTGGGATCAACTACCCCTAGAATGCCCTGCACCCCAGATGAAGAAACTCTCCTCCTACTTGTTCCCAAATTGTTCTTTCCTGTATAGTCTTCCTTCATGGCCAAAGTGGGAAGCAGCCTTTTCTGAGAACCGCTCCACTGGCCTTCCAAGCTGGCACACTCGCTACTGAACACAGTCTTTGTGGAGGCAAGCTCTTGGGTCCAAGCCTGCATTCTGAATGGCAACGGTATGACCCAGTGATCTTTTGCTAACAAAAGTAAGATCTAAAGAGTAAATTTTGTGCTATAACTTCCACAGAGCAATCTATAAATACTTAAGGCTTGAAGTGGGTAAACATTCTATAACCCTTTTTTTAAAAATTCCCTAGAGCCCGCCACGGTAATATTTTAATATCAAAGAGCCAGTGCATGACCAAATGAACAGATGTTTCACATGCTCACGAGTTTATGTTTTAACCAGACTTCCAGACAGGACTGCGAATTGGGAGGAAGCAGCAGAGCAGCAATGGGACCAGAGTCTGAATCTCCTTGGACAGTAATTGAGGCCAAGCACCACCACTCAAGAAGAACCCACACCAGGGCCTCCCTGGTGGTGCAATGGGTTAAGAAGCAGCCCTATGAAACGATTGCATGAGTTTTGACCCCCTCCACCCCAGGAAGGTGACCCACATGGCACAGCAGACTTCTCCGGTCTCCCCTGCTGCTCCCCTCAGCTGGGTATTTCAGTCAATCTGCCTGTTCTGCTCCCTGCTCTTTCTCTAGTGAATCCTCTCAGCTTCTGCATCTTTGGCCTACACCCCAGATCTTGTATGTACAAAAATAAATCTTAAAAAAAAAAAAAAATGCGGGCTCTCCCTGGTGAGGCAACGGGTTAAAGCTAAGCCATTATGAAGCTCTCCCAAGCCACTGCAGCAGAGGGCTATCCCCTGCCGGCCAGGGAGCTGACCCTCGTGTGGCAGCAGACCTCTCTGGTCTCACCTGCTGCTCCCCTCAGCAGTGTACTTCGTCGATCTGCCTGTTCTGCTCCCCACTCTGTCTCTGGTGAATCCTCTCACTGCCCCTGCACCTCTGGCCTGTACCCCAGTTCTGTAAGCATAAATAAATAATTCTTTAAAAAAAAAGAGAGAGAGAGACACTACAGAAGTCGCTGATCTTTTTTTTTTTGCAGGGATTATTATCACGTGTGCAACTATCAAGAAGTCATACTCAGTGCCTGACAATTTTGCAATCACGAGGAAGAAAACTTGAGGTTCATTCAGCACGAACCGGAGAGACAACACCTTAGAGTAAAGCACCAGGCACAGCTAAACCCGTGAAAACGGAGGGAGGAAGCAGCACACAGCCGCCAGCGCCGCCAGCTGAGAGGCGGCTGGCGGCCTCCGGGGCTAGAGCGGGTCAGAGCCGGAGGGAGTGCGCTCACCAGAACCATTCGCTCCCGAAACTGGGCACGGAGTACACGCCCCAGTGGATGAAGATGCCGAACTTGGCCTGATCGAACCACGCCGGCAGCGGGCGGGCATCCAGGGACTCCCAGGTGGGGTCGAAGCGCGTGGCGCCGCGGGCCGGACCCGGCGCCGGCAGCAGCAGCAGCAGCGTCGGGAGCGCGAGCCTGGGCAGCACCGGGAGCCCCATGTCACTCGCTCGCGTGGCCGCCCAGGGCCCGAGTTCTTCCGCGTCTGGCTGAGCGCGCTCCCTGTCACCTGACCTAACAGTCCCGGGAGAAGCACACCCTCCCCCGCTGGGGTGGGAGGGGCCGCTGAACTTGGCTTTGCGGCCAAAAGACCCAAGAAGGCTGCGTTTCTCATTTGCATGACCGTGGAGGCCGGGGTTGCCCTGCAGCCAGCCTGGAGGCCACTTGGCTACATCCCCGGGCTCTGCCTGGCGGAGCGGAGCGGGGGGAAGGGAACTAGGCTGCTCCAGGGACCTGTGGAGCGCCCTTCCGGCCTTTTAGCCGGTTACAGAAACCGCCCCGAGGCTGCAAAACACAACACTGGAACGGACAGCCAGGCTAGAACCAGGGCAAGGCATCCAGTCCCTGCCAGGCCAGAGAGCTGACCAAGGCAGTGGGGTCTGCTGACCCTCAGCCCCAACATTCTTAGTGTTTAAGCCAGTGACTGTCAACCGTGGGTCTGCTTCAGGTCAAATTCCAAGTTTCCTATTCAGTACTCTGCATTGAGCCCAGAGAATGTGGTTTCTGACCAAGTCCTAGGTGAGGTTGATGTTGCTGGGCTGGACAAGAGCTTCGAGAAACACTGAGCTGGAAAACAAGGCGACTAAAGACCGCTGCAACCTGAGGAAGGCGTGTGTGATACATCTGAGGGCTTGGGCTTCTCTGGTGGCTGGAGGGGTTAAGTCTCAGCACTATGAAGCTATCTGCAACCTGCAAGCTACATCATGGCCTCATGGTGTAGCAGGCCTCTTCTGTCTCACCCCATGCAGGGTGAGGCCCTTCACCTTCAGCAGGGTATATCAGTAGATCTACCTGTTCTACTCCACCTCTGTCTCTGGTGATTTCTCTCACCCCCAGCTCTTGCTCCCCACTCTGTCTCTGATGAATTATCTCCCCCCCCCCAACTCTTACATGCATAAATAAATCTTCAAAAAAAAAAAAAGGAAAGAAAGAAATCTGCAGACTTGGAGAAGGAAGCAGAAACTTGGAATGATCATGGAGTATAGTCAAACTTCACGTGTCCACCACAACGCTTTCTGGGCAAAGCTCTTGGCGCACCTGCTTCATCCCTCTCATCCTGCAGTGGGTCAATTTGACTATCATGCCTCTGTGATGCTTCCTGCCACTATATTCTCTTCTAGATGGCTTACTGTCTAATATGTGCTCCCTATCCTCTTTCTTTAACCATGAGCACAGGACTCCATTGATTGCCCAGCAATTAGGAGAATGAAGATCTAGTCTCCCATTTGATTGGGAGCTTTTCGAGGACAGGAGTCATGATCTTCGTGTTGGGAATGTCGGGGCTGGTGCTGGTGGGTCTGGGTGTGTGCGCCCGTTAAGAATCACAGCTGCTGGAAAAGATCATGCTTAGTGAAATAAGCCAGAAAGAAAAGGAAAAATACCGGATGGTTTCCCTCATAGCAGGAGCATAAAGGACCAGGCAAGAAAATAATAATAATAATGAACAACTATATAGCAGAGACATTTTACAGGGCTGGAGTGGGGAATGGGATCAAAAATGGGCAGGGGGAGGGAAGTGCACTGGACTGTGGTGATGGCACATGGGTGATTTTGTGACGGGAAGCCCACGGGGATTACAACTGAGATGGAAAAAGGCACAAAATTATGTAAAAATTAACTCATATTATTTTTTAAAAATGGAAGGCCAACGTAAAAGCACAGCTTCCACACCAAACATGGAGCAAACAAGTGTGCATTTATGGAAGCAGGAAGAAAGACCTCACCGCAGCGGAGGGGTGGGGGTGGGGGTGCCCTTTTTCTCCAGCCCTGCCAGAGTTTCTGTTGTCTAATGGGCCAGACTTTTGATTAGTCACTAGGTGTTCAGGAAGTTTCCTGGTGGCTGTTTTTCTGTTCCCTAATAATCCTGTAGCTGGATCTTATTCTAGGTGGGGGCTGTTCAACACCATTTCAGTAAACACTTCTATTTTCCTGGGCGCGGTTTTGTTCCTTCTGTTCCTGTATTGTTTAAAATCACTGTTCTATGTCTCAGTTTCTCCCAGCCCCCAAGTTCTCCTGGTCTCAGCTCCTCTCAAAGACAAAGTAGCCACGGACCCCTGCCTTCTCACCAAGTCAGCTCCAAATGAACCCCACAATTTGAAAGCTTCCAACCATTTTTCTTTTATCACACAATAGATCACTTGCATTTCCACTAAAGAGGGCTAATCAGACCTTCTGATCTACATAGATGCCTCTCTAAGACCATTTATCATTTAAAAATACATATTTATTTATGCTTACAGAACTGGGGTATAGGCCAGAGGTGTGGTGGGTGAGAGGATTCACCAGGATTCACCAAAGAAAGAGTGTGGACAAACAGGCAGATGTACTGAAATACCCTGCAGCACCCTGGTGGGAGATCAAACTCATGCTGTAGTAGGTTCAGAGAGCTTCATAATGCCATGCTTTAACCCATTGCACCACCAGGGAGAGCCCCATTTATCATTTTATTTGAAGGCAAAGACTTTTTTTAGTTAAGTACAACCTTGACACAAAAGTAGAAAATCTGCAGGAAATCCTGAAAATAGATCAAAGTCCTCCCTTAATGCTCTTACAGACAGAGAGGAATACTAGGAGCCATTGGTAGAGGACTTGGAATGAATAAAAAATAGATTTATTTTGAATGAAGAGGGAGAAGAGATTCTACTCAAAACACATTGGTTAAATGACTTTAATTATTGAAATCTAGGAAATATTTCAGTACCTGATCATTTGTGGAAACACTTGCATGCACTAAACAACACTTTCCTTTTACAAGACAATACTTGAAAAAGCTAGTCTTGGGGCTTCTCTAGTGGTATAGGGGTTAAGTTTCAGCACTATGACACTATTGCTGCTGCAGTCTGAGTTCGATCCCTGGCCAGGTAGCTGACCCACATGACACAGCAGACCTCTCCTATCTCACTTACTCCACCCCTCAGCAGTGTATCTCAGTAGATCTGCCTGTTCTGCTCCCCACTCTGTCTCTGGAGAATCCTCTCGCCCCTCCCCCACCCCCACCCATCTGGACTCTACCCAGTTCTTCTATAAATAAATAAATCAATAAATCTTTTAAAAAAAAAAGATACAATCTTACCTCTAAAAGCTACTGTTCAATGAGCAATAGAACCACTTTAGACTAAGGCTTCAACTATGAACTTAATATATCTTTTAAAGATTTATTTATTTATGTGTACAGAGCTGGGGTACAGGTCAGAGGGGTGGAGGTGGGGGTGGGGGTGAGTGGATTCATTTGAGACAAAGCAGAGAGCAGAACAGGCGACAAAGCACACTGCGACAAAGCACACTGCGGAGGGGATCAGCGGGTGGCATCAGGAGAGGTCTGCCGTGCCAGGTGGATCACTTCGGGGCAGACTTATGCTGAAGTGGCTTTACCAGGGAGGGCCCATGAACCTAACCTTTTAATAAAGGATGCAGAAGTTTGAGAAGCAACAGGTTCTCCAGGTGCCTGTAGCTCATTTATAAGGCCTTGTGGGTCCTGGGTGCCCAGTGAAATCCCCGGTTAGGGGATCCTGATCTGGCCTGTTTTTCTGAGGTTGCTTTGAAGTGCAGATGGAGAAAGCAGAAGGATGAGCCCTGGTCTCTGCAGCAGCAGGGTGCCTCAATGCAGGGCACCTGGCACTGTGCTGACAGGGACACAGCCCAGTGCTCTCAGCAGGCAGGACAGAGCCACACCAGCCCCCTCTCTGTTGCTGGGGAGGGATCAGCGGATGCCCTCAGGGATATCTAGCCTCTGCGGGTGAGCTGATAGCTGAGTGAGGCTCTTGGGGACACATTCTGGATCTCCACAGGGGACTTGGATGACCGCCACCACCCTGTCTAACCATTCCCAGAATTCCTCTGACGTGGACAACAGAGGAAGTGAAACATTTGCCTCAGAGCTGACATCAGTAGTCTCTGTCTGAGAAGAAAAGCATTCAAAACAAACTGAACCCCTGCAGTCTTTATATGGTAAATAAGTCAGCTTCGTGGTAGAGAAAGCAGGTGCTGTGGAGCAGTAAAATCCTGCTTTTCTGGCCCTGGGGGCAGGGAGTAGGAGGACTGAAGGGAGGTGGTCAGGAAGGCTGCTGAGGCCGTCTGGGCACATGGCCCCTCAGAGTGCCAGTTTCAGCTCCTCTCTCTGCACAGGGCTGAGTGACCTGGGTAAGTCATTCAGCCTCCCAGGGCCCCAGTTTCACACCTGTTCTATGTGACTGGTGAGACCACAGCTTCCTCGTTGGCCTGTTAGGAGGATTTAATTCTGCAAAGCACGTATTAAATGTTACCTAAGGATAAGCAAGTATGATTATATATGATATATAAGGGGGAGACTAAAGGATGAGTTGTTCTTGTCCTGATTCCATTTTGGGCTTCAGAGAAAGACTCTTAGTCTGGCAAATACAAGTAGGTGGAGCCAAGTTCTTAGGCCAGTGGAAAGGTTGTTTGTCTTTCCTGGGTGACCTTGATGCTTGAGGGATACAGACAGGACCCACTCGAGTATGGGCCCCTGGGAGGCTCAGCTTCCTAGGCACTCAGAAATACCCGGCACCGAGAACCTAGTAGGAAATCTGGCCTGAGTGGTTCCCTGCAGCAGGGCTTCTGTGCCAAGGATCTGGGGGTTCACATATCTCAGAGGACTCCAGCACAGCAGTAAGAGCTGAGGTGGCTGCAGGACGACCACATCACTCGTGTCACAACCTCAGGTTGTCTGTGGGGAAATGCCCCAGACAAGTGCAGGCACCCACTGACCACAGGAGGCAGTGTTTCTCTCAACACCCACAGAAAGTCTCAACACCCTCTGCCCAAACCCTTGTCACCCTAGGGGAAGCTGAAGATGGGGAAGCATCTGACTTGTTGAGCATTTTTAACCAAAGGAGAACCTAACAGCTTGCTAAGGACTGTTTTATTAACATTTAATCCAGCCTGGGCCATTCAGTTTGCCTGCCAAGCCAGTGGGGAGAGCATAGGCTGGACTGCAAAAGCAGCAGATTGGCTTCTCAGGAAACAAAGGAGAGTCTTTCCTGTGCTGGTGGGGGTTAGGGAGGGTTTGAGGGGACTAAGGGTTTGGCAGGGGGCGCCAGGTAATTTCTAAG